CAGAGATTCCTGCACATTTAAAGATACTCCCGAGTTTAGGAAGTTGTTTCCTGACGTAGCTCATATGAGAGCTTTTATCTGTGCTTTGGGAAACATTCCACAGAATTTCCTCAAGGTGTCCCATAATTCTTCTATTGCTTTATAATCTGGGCCAAGCATTAAAAAACACAGACCTGAGCTCATGAAAGTTTATCCTCTCCAAAAGAAGCAAGGCAGACACTTCCACCCCCTTTGCAGGGAAGGGTCACCATGTGAGGTGCACAAAATGTGACTATGCCGGGCTTCCCGGCTTCACCCCACTTCTCATCACTTCTTGGGGGAAGGAAAGAATGACACGGTTGCTCCATCCAGTTGGAAAATGGTCCTGAATATCACACTGAAAAGGGACAGGGCTTATGCATTCATTCAGCAAATATTTGACACCTCGCATGTGCTAGGCACTGTAGTGGACAGAACCAGGCACCGTCTCTCCTTCGTGGAGCTGCCAGAACTCATCAGTGACCCCAGGTGAGTGTGGGGAGGGGGCTGCAGCCTTCATCTGCATCCTCTCCTACATTTCTCTGGAATTCATCTTCCCCTGCATCCCAATACCATTAATTTAGTTTAAGACCTTGTCGTTTTTATCTTTTTTTTTTAACCTGGAAAATCCCAAACGGCCACCTGATAGGTCTTCCTTCTCCCAGGCTCATCTTCAAAACAGCTTCTGCCCCCCTACAAACACACGTTTAATTATGCACATCTCCTGCTGAATTGTCCATTTGGTCCCTGTTAGCCCTCTTACCAAACTAGAGGGGTTTGTTCTCCCGTGTGCCTCAAAGCCCAATCAAATGCAAACAGGACTTTGCAGCAAAGAAAATAAAGGTTTATTATTTAAAGAAATGGTGTCAAACTGAAACCATTGCTCTAGGACCTAGTTCCCCGAGGCTTCCAGGGGATGCTTGTATAAGGGACAGTCATTAATCATGGCAGAGGTAGGGTCGTGGTCAGCGCTAGGATAGGGGTCGCTGACCATTGCCTCTGGTCCTGATGTCAGCCACAGTGTCGCTCTGTCTGGTTTCACACCGGTGTGGTTGGTGGGGCCATCCTGCTTTTCTAGGTCTGGACCTGAAACACAACTGAGGCCTAGATGTTATCTTTAGTTGGACTAAAACTTTCTCTCTGTGGTCAACAGACTGGAGGCTTTGCTCCTAAGATTAGTTGATGGGGTCAGAACCTCATTGTCCTGAGGGCTTTATGATTAAGGGAGTGGTCGTGCAAGTCAGGGTGCTGGAGGAGGCCAGTTTGAATCAAAAGGAAAGAAAGGAGAAAAGATCATGTTAAAGAACTGAAGTTTCTGTGTGGTTGCAGCACCAGGAGGAAGCTCACACTCCACAGTGCGGCATTCTTGGCTCTTCTACATGACCATGCCTGGCTGCCCTGAGGACTCTCCCACTCTCAGCCCCATTTCTCCTGCCCCCAACGTGCCATTCCGGAAGGAGAAGACACACACTTCTTTGGGCTTCTGAGCCTTGCATCCAACTTTTCTTTAGCTTGGAACCCTCCTCTGCCTTCATAAGCTACCTGCTCTGACCGTGATCCCCTAGCAGGGTTGGGCGGGCCTGTTTGGGGCCCATTCTCACTCTAGAGTTAGAGGTCTTTCTCAGAGAACCTCTCACCAGCAAGCCAGCAGCTGTCAGACCCCATGAATGTTTACTGAGTTGAATTTTCTCTTCTGTCTTTGACAAACAAGGAAATAAAACAATGTCTTATAGGACTCTAGCAAAGTTGGCAAAGACTAGGATGAGGTCAGTGGAAATAATTCATGAATAAAATACACACACACACACACACACACACAGCCAAAAAAAATGGTTAAAGCAAACTTACAGTTTCCTATCCTGGAAAAAGTTTCATGCTATGCCTGGCAGAGAGGTCATATCAGTAGCACTTACCCTGGCATCCCCTCTGTAAGTCTCATTGCCTGAAATTTCACACTTAGAGATTTATTTCTTAGGCTCTTAACATGTATATTTCTTAAAATATCAGTATTCTCTAGAAAAGGTAACACCTCAGCAATAATAAATGCATCTTATCCTTTCCTGACTATAAGATGGAGGGAAAGATACAAGAGGCCTGAAGGGGAGGAATAGCAATAGGAGAAAATATCAGAAGAAGAAGACAGCTTCACACTTTTCCCTGATTGAGATATACTGTATATTTGTCTTCAAACAGGTTAGGCATTAATACCTGCAAAGTGATGACTCACTTTTACTAATGATAGAGAAAAATAAAAATATTGAATTCTTAGGGGGAGTTGGTAATAGAATTGTTATAAGTTACTTTAAAGGAAAGACTTCATTGCGGTCATAAAAGTTATTTAAAAGTAAGCTTGGTTCTGTTGAAATTTGTGTATAGTGTGTATATGATTGGAGACAGAGATTTGATCGATGATTTCTAGAATTCCCTGAGATGGTCTGGAAATGAAATGATGGGTAAATCATGTGAAATGAGCTTATCTTTGCAATGGATCTCCTTGCTGTATCGAGGGCCTTGTTATGTATATGAAAATTACCTCGATAAAGTTGATTATGACTGATGGTTGTGCTAATCAGCTGAACAAACCTGTTAGGGAAGAGGAATCAGATATGAAATAAAAGATCACTTATTCACATTTGTCAACCTGCCCACGAGTCATTTATCTTAAGGGCTCTGATTGAGAATGTGCTAAGTCATATGTAAATCATGATAATCTATAATGGCAAACGTCAGCATAGACTTTTGGATATAAATTGCACTCCATTCCATCTTAACTGCATTGATTAATGTGAAGGAGAGATTGGCAAGCATCTGATAAACTATATCACTATAAATAGCTAAATCTCCTATTTCCCCACGTTCCCACTCCACCAAAAAAAAAAAATGCCAAAAATCAGGATGAATTTTCAGGATGATTTTGAGGTTGACAAAGTAATTACTCAGCTTTGACTTCTCCAGAATCCCAACTGGGTGGCTCCCGATTAAAATGGCCAGGGTGTCGGAATCTCCATGAAGCAGGCGTCCCTAATTCAGCGGCTGACACACGGGAGTCCCGTTCACGGTCAGAGCTCAGGAACTGAACTTGAACAGAGTGAAGCCTTAGCAGATTACTTTCCTTGGCACTTCCTTCAGATGCACAAAGAAAAGTTTAGGTTTGCAGTCCCCTTGGAAGTGATTTCCTCCTCTGTGCATTTGATGCTTCTGCCCTGTATAGAGATGAGTCACAGCACCAGACAAGATTCTATGGCCGGTGAATCACATTGGGAATGTGGAGTTTGCAATTCCATTTCAGCTTTTCAAAACAGATTTGATTTTTTTTTAATCATATATTTGTGAACTCCAAAAAAAATCACAGTAGGCCAAAATTCTGCATCTTATGCTATGGGGAACTCTTAGACCCTAATCAACTTATACCAGGACTAATCTCCTTTCCCCAGCCAGCAGTCCAAGCTAAAATAATAGTCTATTGTTGCTTCAAGCCAGACACAGTGAGGTCTGTGTGCTTTCATGCCTACTCTACCATGTGGGAGACTTTCTGAAGGAAAAATCAGTCAAAAGTGAAAAATGTGCTTCAGCAGAAATGGCTGTGTCCCAATTAGCAGCGTTCACGTTCTGGTTTGGGGCTGCGTCTGTTTTAAGGTTTGGGCCACGGTAACTTTTCTCCTAATCAATTGAGAAGCAAAACCTGCAATACCAACATTGCCTTCTCAGCTTCCTTGGTGCTGGGGGGTGTGGGTGCTCTGTAATCCCTGAGTGTGTGCGTGCTTGTCCGTATTGTGTTTTCTCTTGGTTGAAGGCCAGCCGTCACCAGTTCTCTACTAATTACAACTCATTCTTGTTGCCTGTCAGGGCGAAGAGCATTTGAGTTGTGAAGAATTCAGACATACAAGAATGGAGCCCCTGTCTTATTTCAAATACAAACTTACAAAGGACACTTCCATTTGATTCCAATAAAACCAGGGTTTATATTTTATATTTGCAACTTGGGTTTTTCTTTATGTTCCCTCTAGGCATTTTGTTCATTCATGACTGACTCTAAAGTTTCAGTATTTCCAGTGTGCGAGTTAAACACCTACATAGTTTCATAAGAATCGTTAACTTAGACAACAGCTATAAATAACATCGATTGTGATATCCCACCTATAGCTGCTCAAAGTCAGATTAAATTTTTAAAGTGGAATTTGGTGGCACAGATTTCTGTGCTGTGTAGTGTAGCATCAACATAGTTTAAGATTGTGTGGGTTTTTGTGTGTGTGTTAATTCTCACCTGAGGATTTTTTTTATTGATTTTTTTAGAGTGGAAGGGAGGGAGAGAGGTAAAGAGAAACATTAATGTGTGTCTCTCACATTGATTGGTTGCCTCCCCACATGTGCCCGACCAGAGGCAGGGATCCAGCTTGCATCCAAGGTAGGTGCCCTTGACCATAATCAAACCCAGTCTGAGGGCCAGTGCTCTATCCACTGAACCAAACCAGCCAGGGCTAAGATTGTGTTTATTTGATTGCTCCGAGGAATGGGTTTTCTTTATGTAAAACAATATAACCACCTTTTATTTCTCATCTTTTTACACTTTGTCTATTTCTCTGTAAAAATAAAGAATGGAGGGAGAAAGAGGAAATCACTCAGAGCTAAATGATGCAATCGTTTTGATAAATGTTGCCTTTAATAGAGCCTTGGGCTTCCCTTTGTTCTCTCCTCCTAAAGAGGAAAGTCAGTATAACTAAGGTGTTTTATTCCTTCCCTTTATGACTGTAGGAAGCAGTCCTGGGATTATTTTAACCTTAGGATGATACATGATCACGCAGTATATGATGGCATATTGATGTGTATAAGTGGGTTTTAAACCTTATGCCATCTCCACTCGCTGTTTGCTGGGATAACTCAGCTTTGATACCAAGACCTTGGTCCTTGTGCCTGACTCAGCCTCCCAGAGGCACCCGCCTGCCCTGCCTCGCACTCAGCCCTGCCCGTGTGTGTTGTTCCAGGTGTCCACTGTGACAGCGTGTGTGCGGAGGGACGCTGGGGTCCCAACTGCTCCCTGCCCTGCTACTGTAAAAACGGGGCTTCGTGCTCCCCGGACGACGGCATCTGCGAGTGCGCGCCAGGGTTCCGAGGCACCACTTGCCAGAGAAGTAAGTGTTCCCTTAGGTGGCAGTCTGTCCTCCTGGGGGCACCGAGTGAGGGTTATTATCTCTGTCCTCCTCTAAGCGAGTAGGGACATCTGTGGCAGTTGAAGGCAGAAGGAAGTGTAATGGGCACCCTGTCCTTTGCAGAGCCGGCCTTCATAGCACATCCCCGGCTTTTATTCCTTCCAACCTTCCAGGACTGACCTAACAGATGGGGCTTTCGCCATTTTTTCCCCAGTAATGATTTCATTGCCTCATTGGCATCACCATCGGGATATGTTTCTTGATCCTGCCTTAAATCTTGCAAATGGTGTTCCAGAAATCCATTGACCTGTAAATATTTTATTAGGCAATTTGGCATTGGCCTTATTTCAATTACTAGAAGTCAACATCAGCCAAACCTTGCGGCAAATCATGCATCCTGCTAGTAGTCTGAAAGTTAGTACTATGGGGGACATAGAATTGCCGAGTTTAAAATGGGGGCTGTTGACATTGGTCAGTTGAAAACTTAAGTTAGGAAATGACCCATAAGATTTTACTAAATCTTCTTGTAAATGTTTTCAAGAAAGGAATATAGGACTAACTATAAGGTACATTATTCTAATTTTTAAATTACTTTGTTTTATTGAGAGCTCTATGCAGTTGTCCTACATTTAAATCCCAAATAATGTCTTGGGAAGAACCTAATTATGTAGTGTTTTGCTTATTCACTTTTCAGCCACAATCATTAAGCTGGACCATGTAGAGGAGGAACCATCTTTTAATTCTGACTGTAGATCTATTTATTGCCAGTCATGACTAAGTGAAAGGTCAACACATGGCTTGAGAGTATTTATTTTGGCCTTCTTAGAATTTAGAATTTTATTTCCTTCTTTCATTTATTTATTAAAGCCTTTAGCTCTATGCCAAACCTCAAGCTAATTGGAGCCATAAATGGGAAAATAAAGGGGACGAAGTCATTTGCCTGTCCTCGGGCAATTCAGAATTTAGTGTCTTTTTTTCATTATGAAAGAATACCCTGTTTCTTTGGTGGTTGTTATTTTATACTTGGAAAATTCTCAGTATCATTAAAAAAATGTTTTACTCAAAACTTGAACTAGATCTCGATGTGGAATAGGAAAGAAAACTATTTCAGGAAAGATAACTGTCGATTTCCATTCTTGTTTCAGTCTGTTCCCCTGGTTTCTATGGGCATCGCTGTAGCCAGACGTGCCCGCAGTGTGTGCACAGCAGTGGGCCCTGCCACCACATCACCGGCCTGTGTGACTGCTTGCCTGGCTTCACAGGAGCCCTCTGCAATGAAGGTAAGGCGCAGTTTGGGAGAGACACCTGGTGATGAGCAAGCCCCGTGCGGTCTGTCCTCAGGCTCCCAGGGACCTGTCTGCAGCTACTAGCTCTCGATGCCTCCAGGGGGCTGTGTTTGCAGCTTCTGCAGATATGACGTTGATCTTTGGAAGAGTTGGCTTGCCACTCCAGCAAAGCCTCTTTATTCTCTGAGCGGTGCTACACTTCAGCTTTAATTGCAAACAGCCTCCCATGAAAAAATCAATCTGAGGAAGGATGTTGCCTTCTTGCGCAAAAAGTTATGAAATCAGCTTTCTAGAAATGTGCTGGTGTCTCCTGGTTCATGATGCCTTAATGAGGGCGTGTGGCTTAATGTATTTGTAAAAACAAGCCCATTCAGGATGAAGGATGATGTTAGGTGGAGGCAGCTACTAAATGGGCAGCTGGGACCTTTAAAGTTCCCTCCTGTCCCAAGAGCCCAGGGTTTTTGTGAGATGAGACGTAATGATGAGTTACTGACCTATAACTTGTTCACAGTGTGTCCCAGTGGCAGATTTGGGAAAAACTGTGCAGGAATTTGTACCTGCACCAACAATGGGACCTGCAACCCCATTGACAGATCTTGTCAATGTTACCCGGGATGGATCGGCAGTGACTGCTCTCAGCGTAAGTCTCGTCTGAGAAGAACTGATCAACCATTTTTATTTGTTTGTTTTCAAACTCTTTAGGGTTGAAGTATGAGTGGTTATCTAATCAAGCAAACTATATGAATAATTATAAGATACATTATTTTAAAGTTTAAATGGCTTTGTTTTGCCATTAAGAGCTCCGTGCGATGGTCCTACATTTAAATCTAAATAATGTCTTGAAAGGAACCTAAATAAATAGCATTTTTTGCTTATTTACTTTTCAGTGATTCTTCTTCTGTAAAATGGGGGTCATGTACCCAGAAAATCTATGCTAAGTTTCACTCCAGACCTCAAGTGGGAGATATTATTTTTCCCTTGCTCTTGGGGGGAAAAAATGGTCACACAATCATGGGAGACTTTCTTCATTTTTAAAAATTATTTCAGATTTATTTATTGTCTTTTGGGCTATATTTCCTACTGGATAGCCATATAGAAATTATAGGTGGTCCTCTTTTGAAAGAGTTATGTTCTTTAAGTGTTGGTATGAATAAAAACATTGTTTGACTGGGTTTTTTGGTAAATCAAATCATTTTACCCCATCACCTTACATTGCAATTTCACAGATACTTTATCTGAGGTTCTGATGGCCCTTCGATGAGCAATGACCCCTAAGATTTAGTTTTGTTTTTTCAAATCTAAGAGTTTATAAATCTATTTTAGATTGAATCTAAGATAACTGAAGATTTAGTTTTATTATTATCTGCTCTTTCTAAGTAAGAGGTTTTACAAGTAAACCAGTTCTTACATACAACGGGCACCATAACATTTAAAACAAGCCTCTTGTGACATCTCTGGAACAGGCTGACAAGTGCCAGCTTCTGAGATCAAAGACAAAAATTACATGGCCCTGGTCCCTAACCTCTCTCAAGTCACATCATTTTTCTATCTGATCTCTGCTCAGCAGCCTCTCCTCAGAGAGTCCCTCCTTAAAGAAGCAGCTCCGTCATTCCCATCCCCTTAACCTATTTAATTTTTTTCATAGTTATCACCGCTGGTTTTGGGTTGGCTGGTTGGTTTGCCTGCCTTCCCTACTAAAAGAAGCTTCTGGAGGATAGCCTTTCTCGTTCTCTGCTATCACCTTCGTTCCCCAAACAGTGCTGGGCACAGAGGTGCTCAGTGTACATGATAAATAATGAAATCTGTGACCTTGAGGTGATTCCCGTTCTGCTCTGCAGTCTGTGAATGAATTCCTGTCAGTGGTGCTGGTTGCTGTCACAATCAGCATTGCCATCTGGGTCTTATGTGTGGAGCAGTGTGCTTCCTCAGTCCTGGTGCACACTGCTAACCTCTCATGTGCAAGGAGCTGTGTGTGGGGGGTGGGGGGGAGGGGGCATTGGAACCTTCTCTGCTGGGCTGGCCTCGGATCTCACAGAGCTCTCCACGCCTGCTGTGCTTTCAGCTTGTCCACCCGCCCACTGGGGCCCGAACTGCATCCACACGTGCAACTGCCACAATGGGGCCTTCTGCAGCGCCTACGACGGGGAATGCAAGTGCACTCCCGGCTGGACAGGGCTCTACTGCACGCAGCGTAAGCGGCCAGCCTCCCGAACCCAAGGGGAGCCCCACCCAGGAGGACACAGCCTTTCCCTGTGCACCCGCGAGCTCTCCTGGCATTCGAGGGCTTGGTCTACCCACCGACCTCTAGACATCTCACTCTCTACGTGGTTAAGAGCTGCCATGTCCCAGGGTTTCTGTCTGTGTCATATCAGGGCCATGAGGGGGAGCAGTGCTTGCTATATGTAGATGTGGTGGGGGGCAGTGTCTTTCTCTTCTTTAAACAGACCCTATTTTTATGGCTCAAACTCCCTTTCATGCATTCTACACGCACGCGGTTAGAGTAGGTGACAGTGATTAGAAAGGGAGCGAAGGCGGCAAGCCTCTGCCTGCCATGCTCTGTGCTCTTGGAGAAGATCGAGTCATGGCTCTCGAGCTTGAGCGAGCTTCCCAACCACCCGCCGGCTCAGTCAGCTGGCCCCGCTCCCAGCGTGTCTGATCCGGGAGGGCTGGGCTGGCACCAGAGCACTCACATTTCTAACAACTTTCCAGATGGTGATGCCAGTCTGGGATCGTGCTTTAAGAATCACTAGTCCTTTTTTCCATTTTGTATCCCATCGAGTCCTGACCATTTCTTCTTCTATAAGGTCATTAGCGTCATAGGTTATCATGTGCAAAGTACCCATCTTGGCACTGTTGGGGGAAAAAAGACTAGTCTCTACCCTCTTGCCTTTCATTGAATGAAGGAGAAAAGACAGGAAGGCACGTATCATGATTATCATTAATACTTGTATATAATTTTAAATTGCAGAAGTGAGCAGACAAAGAGAGATGAGTCAGAGATTAAGCAACATTTGTTTAATACTAATTAGAGAACATAAAGAATAGGCTGAACAAACCTTTTGGAACTTTCTAGAAAAGGGTATAGACCTTGAGCCATGATTTGAAAGGGAGAATTGGCAAGGAGGAAGGTTGTCCCAGGCATATTCTGCCGAGATTGTATATGTACATAGAAAGGTTTTTGAGCTCCTTAGGGAAAACACCTTGCAAGTTGTTATTTATAATTCCAAAACCAGGACCTGCTTCAGACAGAGGAGCTTTTAAGTGGACATATCACAGTGCAGTGGGAAGAGCAACAGGGTCTAGAGGCAGACCTCCCTGCGTTTTGCATCGTCACCCGCCATCCTGCCATTTGCTGGCTGTGTGCACTCGGGGCTCGGTTCCCACATGCAGGGTGGGATTATCCATCCCTGCGTTTCTGGGCTTCTGTCAGGAGTCGGTGAGGAGGCATGAGAAGAGCTGGCACAGGCTGGGTGCTAAATGAGTACAATGGCCACAGGGGGGCTGTCGCTGCATTCCAGTATCTGGGTCTGCCTCTGCGTCATGAAAGCTGAGTTCCCTGTAAAAAAGGGGGAAATAAAAGGCACATGTGATGCTTGGAACCAGCCGTGGAACCAGCCGGTATTGAAGCTTTCTTGACTCACAGAGCCCTGAAACTCTTGCTGGTCAGCGGCCGGCCCATTGAAGCCAGTAGGGCTGTGCAAGAGTCCCGACGGTCTGGGCCTTGAAAATTGTGCCGCGGTGGGAAGGCGAATTGCTTTGTTATAAAGCACCTGCCAAGTGCAGGGATGTTTCAGTTCATCATTTTACCACGTATTTCAGTGAAGGAGATCATATTATCTAAGTGAGTAACACATACGGCGGACAGGTATCAGAGTTGGAGACATTCTGTACCAGAAGTAAAAGCATTCAGGTCGTTTTTACATAAAGTACCCACTTCAGCCCACGGAATTGGAGTCCAGGATGCTTGTAGTTGAGTGAAAGGATGAAAGGAAATGCCCAGACCTCGGCAGGGTTGAGGATGCCTTGTACGAAGACACCAGCCGTGCCTCCAGGGTGCCAGTACTGGTTCACCTGCCAGGTGTGGAACTGCTCTGCCTCCGCCTCCTCACAAGAACCCCTTCTTGGGACTTCAAAGGCTTTGTGACAAGCTGACACGTGCATCACTGTCTTTACTCGCTCTCTAGTGGCTCAACGTCTTTAAAATGTTGGAAGCAAGAGCTGTGCTTCTCCTCGGCAGCCTCTTGACTCCTGCTGTCCTTCCTCCTCGCACAGGCTGTCCCCTGGGGTTTTACGGGAAAGACTGTGCGCTGATATGCCGGTGCCAAAACGGAGCCGACTGCGACCACATCTCCGGGCAGTGCACCTGCCGCACCGGGTTCATGGGGAAGCACTGCGAGCAGAGTGAGTACGAGAACACCACATCTCTAGGCGGTCTGTCCCCCCACAGTCACTTTTCCTAGATGCCTGAAGATATTTTAAGTTTTTTCAGCTGGCGGCTGGTCACCAGCACGGTTGACTTCCCTTCAAAGACCTGGCCACCTTGGGAACTTTGCTGTCTTTTTCCTCAAAATTCTTCTTCTGAGTAACTCCTCATTGCTCTGGGTGGAGGGGGTGTGGCTCCAAGACTGAAGACAGAATTCAAGTTTTCCATCTGTTCATCCTGGCTCCCTCTTCCACTCTTTCTTATTTTTGGAACGTGGATGCTCAGAGCTTTAAAAGAGCCAGTCAAGCTTTCTTTATGGCAAAGACAGAGCCCAGGTCCCTCGCTGAAGGAGATTGCATTCAGTGGGCCAGGCTGGGTGTGCAGGAGGCAGAGGGGCTGGGTGCCCAGGGCCAGCCCACTATGGGTGAGCGAACAAGCCTGTGCAAACATGGCCACCCTTCTGACAACCTCGTTTAGAAAGGTTTTATACTGTTTCTACTAACAACTTCTCATCTTTGCCTTAACAGCCTTAAGACAACATATTGCCTTAAAATTTTGTTCTCAAAATCCCATCCTGGGAGAATATGCTCTGTTGGAATTACCCACCCTTGGTTTTCCATTTCTGCCCCACCAGCTCTGTATCTCCTCACGAGGTTATGGGAACATTTAGTCTCGGACTGAGCATTTCGGATTAGTTTACTATTCTTTTCCTCTGGGGCTTTCAGTATTTACGAGAAGTAAATAAATACTTAGAGCTGTATGGGGCTCACTTTACAATGATAATGGCAGGAAAAGGAGCAGGAGATTTCCTGCTCACCAGAGGGCGCAGTCTTGGGAAGGATGAAGCAAAGATGACAGGCCTGCAGGGCCACATGGCCTAGAAAGACTGATCAGCATAGGAGGATTTGGCAATAAAGCGTTGCCCTCCACCAACCCACCAGCACCTCACAGCACCACTGGACAGCCCAGTAAAATGTGTTAACCTTAGAATATTTGTGCATATACTCCTGCCTAGCAAATATAACAAGAGTGATGTCCAAGAAGCAGCCTGGACAGAGAAGGCCCGATTTTAGTTTTGCTCTGCTAGTTCACTTAATCATGAAACAGATACTGAGTCACAGAGCTACCTGCACACCCCTTGGTATATACAAATATTGTGCACATTTGTGCAAATGTCTAAACATATGTGCACATACATACAGGGGTGGGTCAAAGTAGGTTTACAGTTGTGAGTACGTGAATCACAGTTTATTCTTGTACTACCCCCATGTTAATTAGAGGCCCGGT